GCAGAGAAATCTAGAGAACTCGCTTTCGTGGCTGGGGACGGCTAAGATAGAGCTGGTAAATTACGGTAAAAGGGCCCAGTCCAGACCACGCCTACTTTGATGCTGCCCTCAAGTTCAGAAATTTTCACCGTTTTGGGGTAAGTTGGAAAAAATGCCAAAAGAAGAATGGTTATTTTTTCAGATGTGAAAACGGTGCCAAGTTCCCATTTCCCAGGGTCCACCGATGAAGCTTTACAGGGACCCCGGCCATGCGGTTTGTTCACGCAAGGACTTTATGGTTCGTTTGGAAGCGCAGAGCAGAGACTGTCTAGCTAGCGAATGCCAGAGATATTTGCTACCTGAACCTTCAAAGGAAAAGTTCACCAGGAGGGAAGGGCCACCTGCTTCCATGTCTGCTAGAGAGCAGGGCTGACGCATCCATGCATGTGGAACAGTACATATGGCGATTCCAGAGGGATACAAGAGCACTTTGGGCCTTGATTCCTTTCTTTCCAACAGAGTAGCCCAAAGTCAAGCAGAAGGGAGGCCTCAGCATTCCACTAAGCAGCTGTGAAGAAGGAATGGACATTGGACCTGGAAAGATACTTAGGAATCACCTCTGTAGCCCACAGGGCCCACCGTGTATATCTCTTCCACACACTGGCATCTCTGAAATCAGGCCATGGCTTACAATCAATATATTAGTGTTTAAGTGAAAGCATTTTTTGGGTCTGAGCATCTTTTGTTTCTCAGTGGTATTTAAAGCAATAGCATCTCTGGTGGATGGCATTTTGGGTGAGGCAGCTCCTACCTTCATAGGTCCGGCCTCTTTCTGCCCTTTCCATTGTTGGGACTCTCGTTTTGTTTGGTTGGTACCCACTCCATAGATTTCACTGTAAACTGGAGAGTGAGCTGAAATCCGGTGACACCTTGTCCACCGGGCAGGGAGGGGCAGGGAGGGGGCAGGGTGGGCCCACTGGGCCCACACTAGTTGTCTGTGCTGTGTGGACACAAACCACTGAGGGTCTGGTAGGACAAGAAAGATCTCACTGGGCATCGGCACGTTCCTTTCCCACCAGTGTTGGCCAGGCTCATTCCTGACGACACACGTCCTGAGGAAAAGACCCAGACAAAAAGCAGTAAATGGGGTTCAGGGGCAGAGAAAGAAGAGAGAGAAAGTACAGGGAGACAGGGTTTGGGAGTAAGGCCCAGAGGCGGGGTGTGCAGAGAAGTCTAAAACTCTTGAAGCTGGTGATCTAGAGCCTGCAGCGGCTCATAGGAGAGAGGAGCCAAGGAAAATGGAAAGAACAGCTCCTCTGCCTGTGGCTCAGGTCAGGAATACACATCGTGCTTCAGGGAGGTTGGTTTGCTAGTGTCTGTGGGGCTGTAGCTGACCAGGGGCCCTGCGTCACCATGCGAGGTGGGCATTACGGGTTGGGCTGCTGGTGCTGGTGCAGCCTCCTGCCCGCCTGCTCCACCTTAGAGTCCTCTTCCTGTCTTCCTCTCTCTCCTAGTCCATGGTGGAGCTGCATTGTGCTGCACAGGGCTGTGGAGCCTCCCAGGATGCGTGGAGCACAACTGTGAGCCAGGACAAAAGCCCCAAGGCTGAGGAACACAGAGGCAGGTGAAGCAAAGAGGAAAGTAGACTCAAAGTGAGGAGAGAAGAGGGAACTGGAGGGAGGCCTAGAAAGACGGAAATCACCCCACCTGGGAAATCACAGCCAGGAGACATATGTGGGCTTCCTGGGGAAGCCCAAGCCCAACAGCAGAGGGTAAATGAGTCCCGCAAAAAAAGACACAGATGGGGACTTTTCTAGCTCTCCTGGGTAAAAAAGAGGAGTAGACAGATTTCCCTTGACAGCCTGGAAACTGCAAAAGGGTAGAGCAGGGAGGGGGCGAATATGACTGGAACAGGAGAGGTCTCAGGCTGACACCCCATGCTCTCTCCTCTCCAGCCAGAAAGGAAGTGCATAAAACACATGAAAATCTGACACTTCCATCCAAAACAAGGGTGGTGATTCTGGGCAGGAATGTTGACTGTGTCCAAGGGAAAAGGGATAGGGCTGGAAGAAATAAAAAGAGGCTTTCCGATTTGTTAATAAGAATAGAGAGTTAAAGATGCGCATTTGGTCTGTTTGTTCATCAAATGCCTGGCAATGTGTGTAGAAAGGGAAATAAACCCTAAGAATCCATAGGATTGAAACATAAGGAAAAAAAGAGATGGTGAAAAACCAAGTAAAATATGGTATTTTATGCCTAAAATGAATTTTTGGAAAGCCAAGACATTTGGCAGAGGTGTGGGGACTCTGTCTGTCTGCAGTTTGAGGGCAGGAAATATAAAACGTGAGACGAGAATTTGATGGAGACGTCGCAGGCCCTTAGGAGACTGGAAATGGAGGGCCCCTGTGAAAGGGGGTGCAGAAGAGACCCCTGCAGTAAAGGCAGCACCCCACAGCCAGAATGATGTCCCAGGCAGAGCACAGGGAGGCCAGTATGTGAAAAGATGGGAGCTGCTGAGGACATGGGGCTCAGGAGGTGGCAGCTGGGGCTATTGCTGGACTCTGCCCCAAGGCCAGGCAGATGGACAGGGCAGTGCTCAGGGTGACCCAGAACCCAGGGATGCTACAGATGTGTGCAGGGAATGTGGGAAGCTTGTGTCCTCCTCAGCCCTGAGCTCCAGCATCCTAGGAACCTCTGAGAGCAGACCGGTGACAGAGATGTTCCCTGCTGGATGGCAGAACCACGTGCACGGCCTGGAGGGGGGCACTGCAGCCACATCTGAACGTAGGGCTCTCCCTCCCCTCCCAGCAGGGTGGTGAGTCCCATGCTTTAGAACCAGTTCCCCTAATGGTTGTTGTGGTTCGTGTTGACAGGGCAGGAGGGGGAACTGTGTGTGGGAACTGGCTGGAGGGAGGGCTTTGCTCAGGAGCAAAACTACCACTCGCAGGAGGGACAATCTGCAGAAAGGACTTTGGGAAACAGCTGCAGAGCTGGAGATCTTGAGGAGAAGACATGGTAAGGCCTGTGGCAGAAGCTGGATGCAGGCTGACACCCCAAGGTGGGGGCTGTGGACTGCTCCCCAGGCAAGTGTCCTGCTGGCTGAGACCCTGGTTGGCACAGGGCCCCCAGCAGAAGTGACACAGGACCCCTGTCCCTCTAGGCCCTGGTGACCATGGTGTAGCAAGGTTACAGCCACAACGGAGGGATGAGAGGTACCTATGCATAGGATGATGGCTACTCCTTTGGGAAGCTGAAATCCAGAGCTCAGAAATGTGCAGAAGACTCAGGAAAGACAGAGTCCCAAGGGGCCAAACCCATTACAACAGACCGAGACAGGGTGAAACAGAAGAGAGAAGCAATGAAAATCGGAGAGTACTGCATATGTATATAGGAAATTGATACACGGCATTCCATGCAAACCATTGTTCTGGCTTTGGGGACCTGAGAACTGTAAATTTGGATAATCTGCAAATACCATTTATAATTCAAAAAGTGTGGAGGCTCAAATGAGGTAATCCTTCAGAGGTCACTCTGGCAAGCATGAGGAAGATGTGTGTGGTTGAGAAGAGGGAGGTGGAGGCTGGGGCTGGGCCCAGGGAGGGGCAGCTGCATTCTTTCCCATGGTGGCCCCGAGGAGCTGCCACAAGATGCCACTGGCTGGGACTTAACAAGAGAAGAGGTCAGAGGTCCAAACCCAAGTGTCACTCGGTGCCCCCTCACCTCTCCTAGCCTTTGCAAAGCCACATACCCTGCATCTGGGACCCCATCACTCCAGTCTCTGCTTCCGTCTTCATGTGCTGAGTCACCCAGGCTAGGTTGAAACTTGCAATCCTCCTACCTCAGTCTACCAGAGTATTGAGATTACAGGCGTGTGCCACCATACCTGGCTTTTCCTCTTTTTTTTTGATAGTCATGGGATTTAGGAACCACACTCGATCTAGGATGACTTTATCTTGTGATTCTTAACTAATTACACCTGCAAAAATCCTATTTCCAAATAAGGTCACGTTCTGAGGCCTCAACTGGCCTTGCATTTTGGGGGACACCCTCCAACCCCCTACAGGATTCAACTAAACAAGGAAGCAAGAGCGCCAAGGATATGTGAAATATTTCCACACACTTCTTGTCCCCAGAGTCACCTTTCTCACCTGTAAGGGCTGCCACTGCCCCTGGGACGGAAGCCATGCTGCTGGCTGGAACGGCAGGCTCTGGCATCTCCAGTCTCTGTGCCTGGCTTTCCCTGCCCTCCCAGACTCCTCTATTTTGTGACCTCGTGTACCTGGTTCCCCTTGGTCTTTATGACCTCCCTATGAGAGGCCTCCTCAAAGAACCTGAGGTAAATTCCTCCATAGGATTTTTTCTCTTTATCTCTACAGCTCATCAGTCCTTCCAGTAACCCATTAAACACCTCCTGTCTAATTTGGCTTTCTGTGACTCCAAGTCTCCCCGGCACTGGCCAGGGGTCCTTCTCCTTTCCCAACCCCAACCCTAGTTCTATGCCAAATGAGAGGCTGAAGTGCTGTGAGCTTAAGGAAGAGGCCCCAGGACAGCCTGATGGACAGGACAAGGCTCCAGTCCCCCCTGATCCTCTGCAAGCTCTTGGGGAGGGAAGATGCAGAAGGGCACCTGCCCCCAGCATCTGCTACAGCGTTGGACCTGGTAGACTCTCGGAAATCTCACAGGGACAGGAAGGAAATAGACAGGTGAGTTCCTTGGTGAACAGTTCTCCAGTATGGGACAAGGCACAGTGCTGACGACCCCTGTACAGGATGTCATGTGGGCCCCAGGGCAATGCCCCTCCGTGTAGGCCCACATCGATGTCCCTCCTGGTCCCTCGCACCATCCAGGCGGCGGCTCTACCAACCCCAACCCCAAGTCCAGGGCTGCGAGCAGGCAAATGAAAAGCAATGCCGGTCCAGAAGCTTCTCCAGCCTGAGTACTTGATGCGGCCGTGGAAAGTGGAGGCCATCCTAGCCAGGGGCGGGCACATCCGGGGACTCAGGGTGGGCCGTGTCACTCACCCGCATTGTTCTGCTGCTTGGTGTTCTTGATGTAGGCGGAGAATTTGGAGAAGATGTCGATGCCTGCAGTGTTGGACTCTCGGTGTTTCGCGGCCAGTTTGGGATACCTGGAAGGAAGAGGTGCCGCTCTGAATTGTGAGCCTTGTTGCTCGGGAAAGGTGAGCCTGTCCCTGTCACTGGGTCCCCTTTCTAGCGGGACCCAGTTCTCTGTGTACGCTCAGGGTGGGCGCTTGGCAAGTGCTCACAACGAAGAAGACGAGAGGAGCGGAGCGTTGCCCGGATGAGCAGCACATCCTGAGGGCAAGGAGCCCAAATGTCTCCCAGAGGGCTCCGGATGTGTTCTCTCCCTGGGACCGGCAGCATTGCTCTGATGCTGGCAGGGGTGGCCTGACATGTCCCTCCGGAACCTCCTCTCCAGGGAGCATGGTGTGTGGTAAGGAGAGGGACCTGCCCAGCTCCACCACCTGCAGGGCCATGTTTGCTGGAGGAAGACAGGAGCTGGGCTGCTCTTGAGACTGTTAGTCTGAGAGGAGATGAGGCTACCCAAAATTTAACCCAACAGCTTCGTCATCACGAGCAGCCCTAATTTAAGGAACCTTCTATGCATATGGCCAGGCAGGGTGGGAAGAGAGGGACGGTGGCCCAGTCAGCGTTATTATCAGTCAGTGTGGATCTTTGTGACCTCTGGGTGACATTTCTAACTGGAAGCTGTTTGGTTGCTTTATTTATTAATTTGGGTTGGTTTTAATGCTTTGAAGCACCCCCTACCCCAAGCCTTTATAGTCATCTGTCATTTTTTTTCTCTTCATCTGGCTCACTAACTAGGCCTGTCACTCTTGAGCTGTGGGAGGTGGCTGTGGTGGCAGTGGAATCACTATGGTTCATTTAAATGGCTGCCAGATGTTAGAGAACTCTGGGGACTCCCAGGATCATAGACCTTGGCCTGAAAGGGACATGGAGACTGGGTCGTAGCACCCTTCATTTTAGAGATGAGAAATGAGGAGGGCCTGGAAGGGACAGGCTTGTCTGTGGACACAGGACGAGGTCTACAGCTGGTGCAGAGGTGGCCCGAATTGGGCCCCCTGACTCGGTTCTGCATCCTAGACCCTCTGGCCACTTCCAGAGACCAAACGCTGGGCTGGCTCCCTTGTCTAGGGCTGGCCAGGTTCATGGCCCGAAAGAGATGGATATTAGTCTCACTTACAAACAACTAGAGACTTCCTGGATTCCTCACTTTCATTTTGACATCAAATGCTCTGTAGAATCAAATGTGATTTTGTTGTTGTTGTTTGTTTAGCTATGGGGATTGAACTCAGGTCCTTGTGATTGCAAGGCAGGTGGTGGCACCACTGAGCTAAAATGCCCAGCCCTCAAATGTGATGTTAAAGAGTTGTTGGAATGTTTGGATGTGGTTGAAGGGAAAAGGTTCCCGTGGTGTCTCCGTTCCCTGGTGGCCTTAAGACGGCAGTTTGACAAGAAGCATGTGGCAGAGAGCTTTGGGGCTCTGCTGCCTCCTGGAGAAGAAGAGGCCAGGCTGCCCTGTTCTGGGTTCCATGGACACTGGCCACCTCCCCCACAGCCAAGGAAGGTGGGGAAGCAAAGAGGTTGTGGCTCGACCCGCAGTGTCTACAGGGGCCTGTGCACTGACTTGGCGACAGCTCCTGGGAGGTCCCCCGGCCCCATCTGCTGAGCACAAGGCATCAGATGGTGGTCTCACTCCGAGGGTTCCGCCTTAGCCACTGTCTGGTGTAGGAGCTTCTATGCTTTTGAGGTTCCGCCACTGGGGAGTCTAGTTCCCCACATTACTGACATGGCAGGTACGTGCTGGTAAAGCTTCCCACATTTAACTGTAGTCCTGAGAAAGGACCTGGGTCAGACAGAGCTGAGCTCAGGGAAGGTGACATGGGCAGAGAGGGAAGGGTCTAGCCCTGCCTGCATGGTGGAAACTTCACAATCTGGTGGAAGGAAGATGAACGTGATAGTGATCCTCCTCCTCAGAAAGAAAGAACGTGCAAGGACACAATCACCCCTCCCCTTTCCTCCAATCTAGAAAGAAGCCAGCCATTCCCTACTTTTCAGGGGTCAAGGTCTCTTCCAGGAACTCCTCGATCTTGTTGACATCTGTCTTCACTTCCCCATTGAAGGTCAGGAAGGGTGGGTGGGTGCCTGGGGCAAGGTTGTGCAGGTCCGCTGGCTTTCTGCAGAGAGAGCAAGGGTTGGATGTTAGCCTCCATGGAGTGGAGTCCTATTCTGGGAATCCCGTGATTAACTCTAAAGGAGATCTGTGCTGCGCAACACACCAGGCAATGACAGGTGTGGAGTTGGAGCATGGGGGGATGGAGAAAGCCCCGGAGCTGGACATGGTGTGACAGGAACCCTTCCCCAGGGAGGCCAGAGCCAGAGCTGAAAACTTGGGAGAAAGTCGAGGGAATCACAGGTCTCTCTAGCTTGGCTCCCAGCTTTCGTTCTACAGCAGAGAAGTTGCCCCTGGCTTTCAAAAGTTCATGGATTATTCTGACAAAAATGCACTGAGCATAATTCCATACCTTAAAAATGAATGAGTTGGGTCACACTTTTATCCTAGGAAATGCCTTCAAATACAAAAGGGAGGACCTTGGGCTCTCTGTTCAAGGTCAGGTACCCTCATTCTGTGTAACTTAGATTTACTGTTTCCTAGCTGACGGTAACATTGGTCAGCCTCTTGACACGCAGAACACCTTTTCCATCCATAACAGCCCTGGACAGATATGGCCTTTTAGTATCCACCAAAATACACAAATTGTTAGATTGAAAAGCAGTTTTGAAAACAATGAAATAGAGGCAATGTGCTCACAAAGGCATTCGATTGTTGACACTTCTAATGCAGACACAGTAAGGTCCAAGTGGACAGACCCAAATTTCTTGAGTAGGAAGATGTCTAGAAGGAGGAAGCCCTAAATTCAAGACTGAGGGAAAAGCTTAGAGGCAAATGCCTAGGCCTGGCATGTAGGAGGCTGTCAGGAGATAGATATTTTAATGATTACACAAATCAAATTTCATTTCTAATTTTAAAGGGAGTGATTTTAGCTACAAAATTAGAAATCCGATATTGGTCTGGAGTTCCTAAAAAGCTTCAGTCCTATTCTTATTATGAGGATTGTTCTAATTTTTCTGGAAAGTAGCTATTTTTCCTTAACACATTTAAAAAATTGTGTTCTACCTAAAATATCGAAAGTGCTCTCTTAGAAATCGTGCTTACATTTTTTTCTTTTTTTATTAATACATATCTGCATATCAGTACGTACTGATTACATTTGTCTTGGGGAGTTGGTACACTTACATAATACATCCCAATTCTTTTTTTTTAACACCGTCCCTTCCCCACCCTCCCTATTGCTTCCAAGAATTACACATTTTAAGAAAAACGGTATCTAGGCATTACCTTAAGTTGTAAATAATCCGTTTTCTAAATAAATACATCTTCTGCTTTCTAATGGAACTCAGCTAGAGTACTTGCTTTGTGAACATTGTTTTCCCTGTATAGCAATCTGGGACCAATTGGGTTTTTTATGGGACACATATACGGCAGAAGAAAGCAGGTTCGATCAGTCCTTAAGAAGAGAGAAGGCGTGGTGTGCCTGGAGGATTCTGGGTCAGACACTTAAATCTAAGATAGCCAAGGCAACAGGTAATTCGCCCCCAGCAGAAGAGCAAATGGGAAAGAGGAGAGTCTGGAGAGGAGGACGGATCCCTGGGACACATGTCCAGTCAAAGGAAGGGACAGGACAGCCCATGGCTTGAGAGTTCACACTCAGCCGCAGCCATGCTGAATGTGGCCCTGCTCTGTGCCATTGGGCAGAACCCTGGCTCTCTGTTGAATTCTGGCAACTGCAGTAGAAGGGAAGCTTTGGTGGGGGGCTCTGTTAATGCCAGTGTGGTTCCGTGATCTGCCAGGCGGTCAAATGCAAGAGCAAGGATGGCGCAGAAGGAGGAGGAAGTGTTGGCAGGCGTGAAGGAGGGAATGCAGGGTGGGACCGCGCTGAGAAGAGGGAGGGAGGGAGGGGAGGAATGGGGTGACCTTCGGGAGCCCCAGAGCCCCAACACTCTATGGGGGCGGCCACTTGTCTGTGGGAGTTCTGGGTAGAAAATATTAGAAGGAGGAGCTGGAGAAGAAAAGGGCAACAGGGCAGGCGCCTGTAAGGAAACAAATTCCTGGCGTAATCAACTGGGGAGGAGACATGAAGAATGTCAGTGACTCAATGACTCGCCACTCCTGGTTGCTCCCAAACACACGGGCTGTGGCTCAGAACTTGAGACTGAAAGTATGATTAAAATCCAATTGACTGCATCTCTGTGTTTACTCTGCGTATGTTCCTCCTTTACCTCGAGAAAACACATTCTTTCCTGGCTCCTCCCGGTGCTGGTGCTGACACAGCTCATGCATTTGACCACCTGGCAGATCACTGGAATTACACTGGCTGTGAAAGTTTTATTTTCCTGCGGTTGCCTCTCCGTGCCTTAAGGATGCAGGGATTTGAGGTGGTTGTGGTGTGGTTTTAAGTCTAGCTGACACAGAGGGAGGTCTTGTGGTCAGCCAGGTGTGATCCCAAATGCAGTGCTCCCCATGGTCTGCCTAACCCAGTCCTCCTCACCATCCTGTAGATCACCTGTCACTATTTTATCTCCATCAGTTGGATGAGGAGCCCACCTGGGTTCAGAAAAGGTCAAGGTCACTCAGCCAATGAATGATGGAGCCCGGACAAGAAATCGGTTTTCCTAGAAGTCAAGAGGTCTGTGTGTAGGCAGCAGCATAAAAGCTTCCTTACCTACAAAGCTGGGGAGAGGCTGGCTTTGGGGGGGTAGGTACTGGTGGGACCAAGCACCATCATGTGGCTGGGTGGGGCGTCCTTTCCTCTCTGGCCTTCAGCTGAACACAGGTCATTTTAGAGGCAATGCTCCCAGATCCCTGGTTTTCCACGCAGGCAGCTGTCCTTTCTAACGATGTGGAAGCCCCACTCTTTCCAGCTGAGCAGACACTAAGTGGGTGGCAAGCAGGGGCTCACTTATGCCTGAGGCACTAGCAGAGAGCCTGTGAGCAGCTGGGGAATACAAGAAATCTTGACAGGAGCCTGTGGATTCCTGAGGGGTTTACGGTCTCATCTGAAAGATGACGGGAAACTTCCAAACTGTGGTGCAAGGAGGGACATGGGTTCGACCCAGGGAGATTCCCGTGTCAGCAGGAAAGGTGTCTAGCTGGACACCTTGGTGAGGGTCTGAGTGTGCCTGTCACTGTTCTGTGTGTCATGCTGGGGAGTCGGTCTTCTCCACAGGGCGCTGGTGTGTGGAGAGGGGATGGGGTGACACCAAGCCTGGGGCCACGTTTCTGTAGAGACAGGAGAGGGCCTCTGTAGACAGAGATGCGGGCTGCCAGGAGCAAGAGCAGCAGCTAGAAGTCACCTGGCAGGTGAGCAGGACGCTGGGAGACAGAGCTGGGGACAAGAAGGACGGGAGGAAGAGGGCTTCAGGGCATCCATTCTGTGGACGGGGGAAGCAACGAAGGTTTTGGAGCAGGGGAGACTCTTGACAAAGGCACTGTTTTAGCAGGAATCACCTGGGGATAATAAAAAAGATTTGGGAAGCAGGTTGGGAGGAAGAGAAAAGGATTTAGAAGAACGAAGGATGAAGCCCAGTTTGAAAAATGAGAAAACAGTCAATCTGGTGGTGCTGAGATCTGAACTAGGACCAGGCATGGGCTTTGAGGATGGAAAAGAAGTTAAGGTGGTGGAAGACAGCCCTGTGAGCAGAGAGAGAGGGGCTGGGGAAGTTTTGGAAGCTAGGAAAAGGAAGGGCAAGGAAGTCAGGATGGGAACCACCCAAAAGGAAGAGATAGTGACAATTTTAGACACAGATTTTAAAGTAGTGCTTATAACATCGTAGTGGGGAAGTCTGGATGATAACAGGGAACTGGGCATTGAATAATTCATATAAAAGTGACAGGGAGAGCACACTGAGCCCACCAGAAAGGTGGAGACAGCCAGTACCACCCAAAAACCCCCAAATAATAACAATTAAAACGTAACTCAAGCCCCTCTTCACCCAGGCCTGCAGTCCAGATCTGCTACACTAAAGATGTGGAAAGATGAAATACAGTCTGGGAAACGAAGGTTTAGGTCTCATCTGAGCCTTCTGGGGTCTTGGGGATGGTGGCACTGTATTCCTGGGCTGGCAGTTTATATGTCCTTAGACACATGTACCCATCCTCTGCTGGACACTCCTAGCTATACCCAGCATCCTTCTTTCCTTCTTTTTTCCAGTTTGGGCAGCAAGGGACACATTCAGCCCCTGGAGACACCATGCTTATAGCCTCCTAGTCTGGGGGCAGCTGGGGGACGCTGATCTGAACTGGAAGTCCATGCTGAGGCTGCAGGAGCCACTGGAGGCTCTGCCCTTTGTCCTCCAGGCTCCCTGTCTCACCCCAAGTCCAGTGCTCAGGGACACAGCATCCTTTACCTTTTCAGATCCACAGTGGTGACATTGAACACAACTCCTTTCAGCCAGAGGATCATGAAGAGGCGCTGGGAGAAGGGACAGTTGCCGATGCTTTCCCCATCAATGCCCGCCTGCAGGAACAGTAAGCAGAAGACTCAGTAGACATGTCCCCAAGTGAGGAGAACATCAGATTACAACGTGCAGATGCTGGTATGAGGGGAGCCATGCCACAGCCCACCTTTATAGCCAGTTGGTGTCACTCATCTTTTTCTGGTCCCTTGTAGGCCTCAGTAAACCTGTCCTGAACTGAACTGAATTTCAAGCATGGGGAGTTTGTGGAATCACTCCTTCCTGAAACAACAAAGCCCTGGAATCTTAGAGCAAAGAAAGGACCCCCAACAGTACATACTCTACCATAGATGACTCCAGAACATTCCAGATGATTCCAGATCATTATATTCCCCAATAATCGTCTAGTCTGTGTTGAGTATCTCCACCAGACATGTGAATGAGTGAGACTTCAGAAGACCTTGACTTTTGAGGTGTCCCTGGTGGCACCTATTGAGTAGGTTTAGCTACTCCCACTAAGCCTCAGTGCCTCGGTACAACCGCAGGTTCCTGTGCAAAATAAGGGTCACTCAAGCCACTGAGTCTGGGTGGCTTGTCACTAGGTAGATCACTCACACTCACACTTTGCCACAGGTTCCATATCTACCTCATGGGGCAGTGATACACCTGGGAGAGGAAATGGAAAAACACAATATTCATAGTATTTGATAACTACAGACAAACATTTAGGAAGAGCTTATTAGACATGCCTGTCACAACACACTGTGCCTTGGAGAAGAGTTAGGGGACCCTTTTGTGACAGCACAAATCTCAGCAGTGGCTTGGCCATTCAGGGTTTTGTGTTGGAGCTGCAGCTCCCACAGAGAAAGCACACATGGGAAGAGGAATCACAGCCTCCACTGCTGGCTGGGGTGGATGCCCCCCAGCTAGGCCAGCCATGCACTCACCAGGAAGGGAGACAGGAAAGTGCCCACATCTGCCTAGCTGCCGGCATGTGTCTGTTCTCCACCAGGCCACTGAGTTTCTGTGCATGGCAACATTCTCCAACCAAACATTTTTTTCCAGGGGCCTAGGAGTCAAGGATGAGAAGGACTAAACCCCAAGGAAGACAGATGGGTGAAGCTAAAGGGTCAGGCCTCAGACAGTTTCCTATGGGAGCCCAGTGAAGGTCTTTGTGCTCTCAACATCTGGGGCCCTTGTCACAAATATTTAAGGAATTGTCACGCTCTGTGTTAGACCAGGTAATGCTCGGACCAGGAGAGCTGAGAGCTGGAATTCTTCAATTTCAGAAACACACCAAAACAAAAGAAGAGAAGGATGCTGACCAATAGCCTCAAATAAACAGCCCCTTCCTCGAGGGTTTAACTTGAAGAAGGGATCTTCTCACCTGAGACTCCAGTGGACAGAAACATGTTTCTCACTTAATTAGGCCACTGTCAAAACTTTTGCTTTCCTCCCTTGACCTGTTTTTTATTTGTTATCCAAGATGCTATGGATGGATATTAGTTCCAGCTTTTTTGACCATGGACCCATTACTCTGACACTTGTGGAATGAGTCTGTGATTTCCTAAAATCTCTGTACTGAACAAGGATATCCTGACATGGGCTATTTCTCCTATGAAATTTGATGTTCGTGATTCCTCAGTTACTGGTCATCCTCCTTCTGCCCTGGTTGAGCTTGAACATAGAATCTTAATAGGATAAGCTGGTCTGGAAAGACATTAGAAAAAAAATCACAAAATCTAATATCCTACTTCTCAATTGGGTGGGGTTAAGTGCACATCAGCCCCAAATTTAGAAGTATAATATATTAAAACATCATGGTGCTAAATCTAATCTCAATCATTAGATTTAATAAGGGCTCCTTAATTCTGGGACCTTGGCAAAATCTGTATAAAATTAGTGTTTTAAATGATGTTAACAAAGCAGGTAGAGATTGAAAATTCACCTCTAATAGTCAACATAAAACGTGGTGTCCAGCCAGCCTTACTCTCTGCTATTCCAATGGGATTCATCTGGAAAAGGGCTCAGATTTCTACCTGTTCCTCACATGGTTCTGCAGGTGATTCTCATGATCAGCCAGGACCAATAGCAATTGGGCCAATAGGGTTACAGTTACGCCTAAGGAGCTTGGTGGAAAGCAAATAAACAGAAGGCCCCTGATTCCACTGGGGACGTGAAACTCAAGAGTCCCTGGGCTGGGACATGGGTGAGTGGCTGGGCCAGCTGCCCTGGGCTTGGGTGTTGCTTCCCTCGACTCTGGTTCCTGTTTCCCTTTCTCTTCTGAAATCTTCATGACCTGGCCCTTCCTCCCTGTACTCTGCAATGCCCTCCCTCATCTTCCCTTCCGGCATAGACCCTGAAGGAGGGCGCCATTTTGAATCATCTGGGAGCAGAGAGCACTTGGATAAAGATGCTTGGAAAAGCTCATGTGAGGGCAGCCATATGCAATGTCAAGAGCTCCACGGGCAGTCCTCCCAGGAAATACTGTAACCATTTCCAGCCATCCAGGCCACTGGGCCCAGGTCTCCTGTGGTCAGTGCAGAATGGCCATAGGTGCTTGACCGCCTCCTGTCTCTCCAGCTGCTTCCCTTCTCAGCCATGGCTAGAAGATTTGCATCTTCTGAAATGCAGCGTCCCACAAATCCCTGCTTTGGCTTTCCTGGCTGTCTGGCTTTAGCTCCACCCTCAGCCACTGTGGTCACCTGGCTACTTGGGAAGCTGGATTGACACAGCCTAAGGTGACTTCAACAAGAAAGTGGGAAGATGGGCAATAGGAGCATCCTAGAAGTCTTGAATCCAGGTAGGGTTTTACCTCTTCTATCCTAGGTAAGACCCAGCCAACCTGTTTCCTCTGCAGCTCACAGTGAGGAGCCTATATAGCAAGGTCCCCCAAGAAAGGGCTGGCACTTCCTGTCATTGAAAATTCTGTATTTACAATTACCTCATGCCTGTAATCCCCGCTACTTGGGAGATGAGGCAGGATGGCCCGCTGTTCAAGGCCAGCCTGAGCAACTAAGCAAAACCTTGTCTCAAAAACTAAAAAGGGCTGGGGCTGCAGCTCCATGGCAGTGCACCTGCCTACCATATACAAGGCCTTGAAATCAATGCCTAGCACTGCAAAACAGAAATTTAAAAGAAAAATGGCCCCAGAGTTGGTTAGAAGGTTAGAAGGGTGAGACATATAAACAACACCACATTCTTTTTTAATTAGTTTGAAGGTGGGAGGCCTTTAACTCAAACACTGAATTTGGAGCAATGATTTTTCCCACATGTGCACGGTGAGATACTTAGCCAAGTGGAAACAGGATGGTCCCTGACTTGAGTCCCCAGGTTGCCCTTTAACAAGAGTGGCAGAGTAATAAAGAGCAGAGGACCAGGAGTCCCGAGTTTGGGCACAAAGAGTTTGCTCTTGAATGAGTAATTTTTCCCCTCTAGGCATTAGGTTTTTTATTTTCAAAGTGGAGATATTGGAATAGAAAGTCATGAAAGACACTCTAGAATATTTCTAAACTATAGCTGGGAAAAGGTGAATATCACTGGATCTTTTATTTGCATCTAATAATTCCAGTGGCTGAATACCATCTCCCTGAGCTGTCCCCGCTCATGGTATGGGGTCCATGAATGCTTGCAAGTTGAAGGAGCTGCAAGGTGACATTCTACCCACAGAAGGCAAATGGGGGACAGCAGGCAAGGTGCTGCACTGTATAGGGGCTGATCAAAACACACCGTGAATGTTTACATTTGTTTAAATGTGTTGCCTGTTACCAGGAGACCCTCACAATCCTCCCCTTCACTTGGAACACATGTATCTTATTGCTCTTGCCACTTGGTGAAGCAGTTCTGAAAGCTCTCTTTCCTGAGTGTCTTTAGCTGTGCTAGCGTAGCTGTCTCAATATCCTGAATAGATTGAAAATATTTGATGGGGATTCATAGCAATGGGTTTCTTACTAATAAAAATGTTTTAATTTACACATTCACCATAGTTTTTGATGCCCCTGTTTTGGGTGGGGGACATGAACACCCTGCCCAGGGTGCAGAGGCTTTGCCCCCCTACTAGCTGCCCTCCAGTACCTGTCCATCGCATTCTAACACACTGTGGTATGGGGCAGCAGGAGAAGTACCCCTTCTGGAAAGCGGTACCCCAATACCCAGGTCTATCGAGCTTCATTAAGCCCTTCACTCTTTACCCTGGGCCAGCTGAGGTGCAGAGCTCAAAGGACTTTTCCACAGCTGGGCACATAGACAATAGGTAGGGTGAAGTTTGCTGTCAAGCAGAGTTGGTGGAAATCTCTGTTCAAAGCGTCCGTGTGTGCCCTGTAGACGCGCTCACAGAAGGCTGTGCTGTGTCCTGACCCTGAGTCCTGTTAAGTGGTGGTGCTGTTAAGAGGTGAACCCTGGAGGGAGGTCTAGGGAAGAATGATTGAAGCTGGACTTCAGAGATGAGTTTTTGCTTCCAGGCAGAGGATTGCTACACAAAGAGCAAGATAGCCTCTCCCCACACTGGCTTCCTGTCTTGCCGTGTAGCTCCTCACGCATGGGCTCTGCTATATGATGCCTTCTGCCACGAAGTCCTCCCTGGAGCCAGAGCCACACCAGCACCACGCCTTTGAGCTTCCGGATCCACGGGTCATTTATAAAGACCCGAGCCCCAGGTACTTCATTATTGTAACAGAATATGGACTAACACAGACAGCGACAAAAAGAACTGAGCCCTTCCGAAAGTCATCTTGGAAGACTTCGTTTGAATTCTTTGTTTATCTTTCCATTTACTCTCTTAAAAGAAAAAAAAAAGGCATAGGGAGAAAAATTCTAGGTTATGAACAAATTCCAGGTAGGGTCTGAATTCTAATCAAGGTTTCTTCCTCCCCAGTGGGGAGGTTTTGGTCAGGATAAAGACAAGAGACAGAGCCACACTGTAGCTCCTGCACCAGATCCCTCCCCTCGTGTCCTCCAGTGAGGATGAGAACTAGGTAACACCTAAAGGGAGCACAGTTCCTGATGCAGCGCTCAGCACAGCTCCTCCTGGCACTCTGCCCTCTGGACCTCATCTCACCTCTCT